ACTCACCACTAAGTTATTTTTTGGGACAACAATGCGTTTGAGGCCATGCATATTATCAACAAATTTGATCCTGTAGACTTTGTCATTGATCTCAACATTGAACATTTTATTTAGGTTCATAGAGTATTTTGTTCTGATGAGAAAACGAGCCACGTCCATTTTAGAAAAATTCTCTGTTTCCTTATCACAGCAAACAAATACACCCACTGCATCAGAGATGAATTTGAAGAACTCCTCACGCCAAGCATGACAAGGGAGGCCATAACAGTGCATCCATGTTAAGCATTCATTGTCAACATCATCCAGGGACCAAGGATGAATTTATGCAAATCAAAGAGCCACTGACGCCTAATGTTCATCAATCAAGGCGTGAATGTCACCCAAATAGGATTCTTCAGGGAGACAAAGGTTTGCACCGAGCGGCGTGGCTTTAATGTGAAAATAACCTGCCTCAGTTAGAGCATTTTGGATATTGTAAGTTAAGCCAGGTTTTTCAACTCTCCCCACGAAAGCATTGACGAACCTCTCCAATAGATTGTTTCCTATGTTAAATTGTAGGTGAGGAAACCTCAGTTTGTTCTCAGCATCCATCTGAAGCCCCATATTATATTTATGGCACATGTTCTTCTGCATGGCTTGTGCATATGACACGCCATGCAATTTAGTTTTCCAAGAACGGTTTTCAGTATTCAAAGTATGATTGCGACTAACTTCATTCAACTTTGCAGCATGGCCAAGGTTTAACACATTCTCACGCTTGAATCGAGGGATGTTAGCATGAATTTTTCTACTATGAATGGAATAATATCAAGTTTTGCAGCCATGGTCCTTTCATTCAGTATCTTCCTAAAGCGGACGAAAGGACCAAGGAACATATACACACCATGGACAACAAAGAACAAATAAGGAATGAGATTAAAGAACAAAATAGAGGTACAAGAATGAAGATAAGAATAGACGAAGAGAGTAGAACCAAGATCCAATAGAATATGTCCCTAATCAGAAGACTAGGAGTTTAAACCTTCATCACCAAACTGTTTCTATTTGAACATGGAAACTTATACTAACAACTTAGATAGCAAATATTTGAGACTATCTATCTCTAATTAATGCTTGTGTTTTAGGTTGCCACTTCACTACTTTGTACATCTTGTATTTTAATATATATATATATATATATATATATATATATATATATATATATATATATATATATATATATATATATATATATATATATATATATATATATATATATATATATATATATATATATATATATATATAATTTAAAATAATTAAACATTATTTAAAATAAGTAAATATTTATTTATGTTCTATTTTTGCCTTGAGTTTCATGTATTCTTCATTATGAATTTCTATATTGGCAGTAGCTAAGTTCTTTAAGATTAGGTTTTATAAGATGAAATTGTGTTAATCTGTTGAGATATATGGCTGATTTTGTAGTATTTGCATAAATTGATTTTTTTTTTTAATTTTATTCAATTAATTTAGTTCTTAATTCTTTTTGTGTGCTGACGAACATATGAATTGAACTTAGGTTTATAGTGTTATTGATCCTAACTCTGTAAACCTATACCAAGATTTATTTTTCAAACTTAGTAATTAATTTGAAAATAAATTATTATAAGTTTGTGATTCAGAAATTAACGAATTATTGTCATTTGTTTTAGCTTCGAATTGGTCTAAGGAGTTAGGGAGTTGTAGTTTAAAAGAGTGAGATATACACCAAAAAATTGAGTATAACTGTCGTGTTAATTTGTCGTAGCTATGAAAAATCAATTTAATAAAATAGACATACCCATCAACAATGAGATTCAGTGGATTCGAAATAAAACCTAATCGTCTTCTTTATCTGATATTATTCTAACAATTTTACTTAATTTTTTCAATCAAGACCTTGAGAAAACCCCCAATTTATCATTCTAGTTCATTATCGAAATATAAAACATCTTGTGGCAATTTTTTTTTACTTGCAATGAATTTTAGTACACTTGGTAAAAGTTTAATTTGTTTTTGGAGCAATCGTCAGGGATTGTTGAATTATTTCAACAAGGTAATTTTGATGTTTCATTTATTAATTTTAAATTTTTAAATTTTGTTTCATTTTTATTTTATATTTTTTATTACTTTTATTTTATTTTATATTTTTATTCTTATTCTATTTTATACTTGATGCTTTGAATTGTTTATGTGAGGTTCATGATCAACACTACTACCTTTTGATTTAAAAATTAAGAAAATTGTTATAGAAAATCAGAAAACATCTAAAGAAGAAGAGACAGTCCAAGAGAAACTATAACACATACTCATCTTCAACCAAGTTTTTCATCTAATGTTGAAATTTTAATCTTTGATTGAGTGTTTAAATATGTGATATGGATTATAAATATGATTAACAGTTGTTTCACTATGACCATTTATTTTCTTCAACTTCATTAAAATAATTATTTATAGAACCTATCATATCACAAACAAATTTCTTTTCTTCTGGTTTTAGACATTCTACATATTTGTGACCTTATAAGAATCTAATCTACCTATGATTGTGTTCTTAATGCACGATGTTAAAATTCTATAAACCATTTATCAAAAAATATCCCCTTAATCTAAATAGACATATATATTTTAGGAATATTGTGTCTTAACTTTTCACCTTATTTTGTATTGTTTATATTCACCACCTCTTTCACATTCCAACCTACCAAATTATTTTATGTTTTTTTCCACCAGGTCTAATTTTATAATAACTAATGTCTAGACGTTTTTTTTAATACTCATACGTGTAAAATATAAATTATATTATAATTTTAATTAATTTTTATTTTATTATTTATTATTTGTAAAATAATAGTTATAGATAATGATATATAAGATAATAAACTATCACATAATCATCATTTGTTAAAAAGAGAAGTTAAAATTTAAAATAAAAATTAAAAAGAGTATATTTGAAAGAAAAAAAAACTACATTAAAATCATATTTTCCCTTTGTATATAGGTATAGATAATAATAATAATAATAATAATAATAATAATAATAATAATAATAATAATAATAATAATAATAATAATAATAATAATAATAATAATAATAATAATAATAATAAAAATAATAATAATAATAATAATAATAATAATAATAATAATAATAATAATAATAATAATAATAATAATAATAATAATAATAATAATAATAATAATATATCCTAAATTCTTTGTTTCACCTCAAGCTCATGTCAAGTACTTATCTTGTGAAGTAAATTGTCTATTGGTCATCAATTATAGGTTAACTTGTAAGATACAATGTCAACTTTTGATATTGATAGAAAGATCCACTATTTAAGATTTAATGTCAGCACGAGACTCATGATTAGTGTTAATATTTGAAATAGTAATTAAGAGAACAAAATTGATTCATATTTTAGAATTCGAACATGTATTTTAAACATTCTCGTATAACACGTTCGAATTATAAGATCTAATTGTGTATTTTGAATTGCTCAGACACTAGCCTGAAGTATACTAATAATACAAAGTGTTCTCAGTAATTTGAACTAAAATGCTAAAAACTTCAATGATGAAAGTTTCAATCACATTATTTATGCATTTAGGAAATAAAATTAGGGTGTGGAGTCCTTTGATGATTTTATTGTATTTTGAAAATAAGATTTTGTGTAAATAGGGTTTTTTAAGAGGTATGGAGTGAATAAGGGAAATATGGTGAGAAAGTTTGTCTAATTTTAGATATCCTTCAAACTAATGATCTTCTTATCATTCTTATCACTCTTTTTCTTAATTTTCATACTTTAGTCACTAGGTCATCTTTATATTCTCAAATTAAATATTAGATAATTTGAGAAACACAATCTACAACTTCCTTGAAAAACAATACTGAAAATAACAAAATGTGCGTCATCTTTTTGCCTCGGTTTTTGTGTTAATATAAAGATTTAGGTTTTGTTTGATAAAAATAGCAGTTGACTTATAAGTTGGTTGATAGTACATATAGCTTATGATTGATAGCTTATACATTATAGCTGATGGATGATAACTTATATTTGATAAGTTAATTGAAGTGTTGGATAAAATTAACAGTTTGATCAACTGATAAAATAAAAAGATGTTTAATAATTATTATTTTAAATAGTAGAGCTTATAAATTTGTGATAAAAAGACTCTTACCAAACAAGTTTTTTATTGTCATATGAGCTTATAAATTATAAGGCATAAGCACTTAACTCAAAAAATGCCAAAATAAAATCTTATTACTAGGGATGACAATTTGACTCATCCCATTAAATATAAAAAAAAATATGTACAATGAATAAGATAAAAACCCTAAAAAATGAGTACTGACACAAATTTGAGTAATTACTCACTTAAATAAGTGGAGATGGATAATTACTCAAATTTATAACAAGTAGGCATCACAATGGGCAGAGTTTAATCTGTTTTCACATTTGTAGATGAAAAATATTCATGTATCCGAATTCATATCCGCTTGAATATTAGCATTGACACCCGTATCCAAACAGTATAAGCATGTAAGTGTATGAGCACCTTAATATCCGTCCGCTTACCCACACAATATACATTTATACATTTTAATTTATAATATTATATAATAATAAATATTTATAAACTTAAACATCAATTTTGAACTATATATATTTAATATTTAATATAAGTGATCATTTATTTTATAATTTAACAATAAATTTTTAATTTTTTTTAATATTTTTAAAAACTTAAAATAATATAATATTTTATATTTAATTTTTTTTTAATTAAAAATACGGATAACGGATACAAGTACGAACACTTACATACTCATATCATAAGGGTACAGTGTCAATGTTAATATCGAAACGAATATGAACTCAAATACATGAAATTTTTTTTCAACGACAGACATAAAAACAGTACTATATTACCTACTTATTACAAACACAGTAAATACAAACATCCCCAATGGTTTAGTAGACAACACTGTCTCCTACGATGATGACCTTATAACCAAAATAGACACAAGCAAAAATAACAGGAACAAAAAACTCCAAAAATGTCACAGTTTTTGAACTAGTATCATCTTTTATCACAAAAGCACTCATTTCTTTGCTTTCCGATTCCTTTTCGACAACATCATCGTTATCATCATCAACCTTTTCAACCATGGCACCTTCGACTACACCAACTTGGTATTTCATGACTAAACTTTGAGCTGCTTTACTATGTCCAATAGCATCAAACTCCTCTGTTGCATCTTTCCCTGCAACCTCTAGAATCACTTCTTCTCCTCCGGGATGTTCCTCCAAAAACTTTGTCACGTCCAACACCTACAAAATCAAAACTCAAATATTTTTCATGACGGTTATAATGTGTTAGTATGAAATTATGACATGGTTGAATATGTTACTTACTCTGCCGTTGATGACAAGCCAACAATTTTTGTTGGATTTGTGTTGAGAGATTTGTGAGAGGGTGAAAACTCTTTGATTTTCCATGGATGTAAATGAGGAGAAATAATAGTAATAATGTTACTATGGTTTGAAAATTGAAAGAATAAGATTGTAATGTAGTAGATTTTATAGTATGGTGGTAGATATGATAATGCATTATCACGTTTTTGCGTTGTTTTTGAGGTTATCAACTACTATTCTACCACGTGAGAATTTAGTATGCACAAGTAACCAAGTTATGTTATGTGGATCTTCTTGCTCCTCATAAAAACATGTATACGAGTTTTGATACCTAATCTCTTTTTCATCTACTTTTTAAGAAACTTTAATGAAAACCTAACTTTTTTAAATTCAGAAAAGTTACTTTAATAATACACTTCTAGAATTATTTTTGTGTCTTTTTAAATTATTCTTTTAATTCAAGGCAATTTGAATACACTTCTTGAATCACTTTAACACTCTCTCGTTAAAATTGAAACCAAACCTACCTAAAATAAAGGTGATTTTAACATGTACATTGAAGACCGACTAAAACACTTGTAAAGCGAATATACAAAAAGTATTTTGCTAAAGAATGTCATAATAATACTATTTAGACTCAACATAAATGAATAAATATTATAAAAAGTTAAATATTTTAAATTATAATATGAGAAAATATTTTTAAAAAAAACACTAACTTTACACTACGTCCATTAATTAACATTAATCTTTACAAATTTATTCAACACTAATCATTTGAGATAGGAAGAGTCCATGGAAAATTAGTGTTCACCGTAAAAATAGTGTTGTTGTTAATTGATGTCGTCAAAAATAAACTAAAATATGAGAAAAATATTAAGTTTTTTGAACAAACACAAGAAAATCTATTAAGTTTTACAAAAGTGAGAGAAGAAAGAAGAAGAAGAAGAAGAATTGGATAAATATGTTTTTCTATTCACTTTTTCAATTAGGGTTCAAAGATTACAATTGAATACCAACAATTAACCTCTCTCAACAACTTGAGAGAATTAGTATATTTGTAGACTATTAAGTTAACTTAAGATACAAGTTAACTTAACAATTGAGCTTAGAAGGAAGACCAAATTCAACATACTAACTTAAATTACAAGTTAATATATTTCGACATTATGCTCGAATAGACTTCGACTACAACATACACAATTTTTGTCGAACCATGAAGCTACCATTGTCGACACTAGAGTTCGATCTAAATACCACAAATCTCCACCTTGGAACAAACTCTATAAAAAGGGAACAAACTAGCTTTCATCATGCAACTTTATTAGCTGCATAGAGTGAAAAAATTTGCTACTTGGTAATGTCTTGGTGATCATATCAGCAGTATTGTCACCAGTCAAAACCTTCAGCGCTTAAACTTCTCTACACTCAATTATCTCATTGATGAAGTGCACTCTCACATCGATGTGATTGGTTCGCTCATGATAGGATGAATTTTTCGATAGGTCTATTCCACTTTGACTATCACATTTAATAGTGATAACTCGACCTTGAAGTTTCAGCTCCTTAGATAAACCTTCAAGCCACAATGCTTCTTTTACAGCTTCAGTGAAAGCAATATACTCTACTTTAGTGGTTGATAAGGCAACAACCTTCTGAAGTTTTGCTTTCCAACCGATTGTTGTGCCAAACATAGTGAATACATATCCAGAAATAGATTTTCTAGAATCCATACAATCTGCATAATCAAGGTCGAAAAATTATTCAATTTTGACTTTGTTATCACCACCACATACTCCACCATAAATCAGGACTCGGCTCAGAGACCCATTTATGTACCTAAAAATCCACTTTAATGCTTGTCAGTGCGTCTTTCTAGGATTGACCATATACCTGCTTACAAGGCTCACTCTGTATGATATGTCTGACCTCGTACAAACCATAGTATACATCAAAGAACCTAATATACTAGCATATGGAATGATATTCATATAGGCTCTTTTGACTTGAGTACTAGGACTTTGAGTCGTACTTAGCTTGTACTGAGGATTAGTCGATGTTAGAACAAACTTTGAATTCGACATATAAAACTTGTCGAGAATCTTCTTCAGGTATGTCTCTTGAGATAAGCATAAACTCGACTTCTTTCTATCTCTCAGGATGTTAATGCCAAGAATTTTGGAGGAAGCTCATAGATCCTTCATGTCAAACTCCTTATCGAGTTCAACCTTCACCTTCATAACATCATTGACATTGTTGCTTTCTATGAGGATGTCATCCACATAAATGAACAAAATAACAAGTGAATTTCCAATTCAAAATCTGAAGTAAACACAGTGGTCGAACTGGCTCCTAGTGAAACCAATGTGTGTCATGAACTTGTCGAATCTACTATTTCATTGTCGAGGAGATTGTTTCAGGCCATACAAGGACCTATTCATCTTGCACGCATAATCTTCCTTTCCCTTTTCTTAATACCCATCAAGTTGCCTCATCAGGATTGTTTCACTAGATCACCATACATGAAGGTTGTCTTCACATCCATATGTTCAAGTTCTAGGTCGAACATTGCCATCATGGCTAAAAACATTCTAATGGATCTATGCTTTACAACAGGTGAGAACACATCATTGAAGTTGACACCTTCTTTCTGAGTGAACCCTCTAGCAACCAACCTTACCTTAAAAAGCTTCGACATCACTCTTTTGATTCCTTCATTAACCTTGAAGATCCACGTATAGCTGAATAACCTGGCCCCTGCAGATTTCTCGATCAGCTCCCAAGTTTTATTATCATGGAGAGATTTCATCTCATCATCCATGGCTTTCAGCCATTCGGTCTTATCTCGAGTCCTCATAACTTTCTTATAGTCCCTAGGTTCTTCGTCAAGAACCTCACTTGCAAAGATTAAGGCATAAGCTATGAGATCTGCATAACCAAGTCTATGAGGTGGTTTGATCAATTTTTTTGACCCGTCTCTTTCCAGCAGGTAGTCATTATCAGTCTTATCATCTTCGACAACAACTTCTGCTTTTTCTTCAACTTCATCTAGATCATGCAATTCAGCATCACTATGCTCCACCTCAATAAGAATCTCTTCCTGTTCAGCTTTTCTTCAGAGATCTTCGAACTTCGACCAATGTCATATGTTTTCTTGAAAGTCATCCCAGCTTCATTAAAAACTACATCTCGACTTATGATACACCTCTTGTGACCTGGCTCTAGGTACCACAACTTATAAGCTTTGACTCCTTCAGGGTATCCACGGAACATACATCTCATATCTCTAAGTTCGATCTTGTCTTGCCTAATATAAGCATAGGCTAAACAACCAAATACTTTAAGTCTGTCGAGACTAGGTGGATGTCCCGACCAGACTTCTTCAGGTGTCTTCATTCCCAAGGATGTCGAGGGACACCTATTTATCAAGTATGTTGCAGTAGCAGTAGCTTCTACCTAAAATACCTTTTCCAATCCTACACTTACCAACAGGCCCCTCGCCCTTTTCAAAATGATTCGATTAAACCTTTCAGCCAAACCATTTTGTTGGGGAGTCCCTGCAGCTGTTTTGTGCCTTGCAATACCATACGCAACACAATAGTTGTCGAAAGTCTCATTGCAAAATTCAAGACTAATGTCGGTCCTTAACCTCTTGACGTTCCCGCCATTTTGGTTTTTGACCAAAGTCTTCCACCTTTTGAACTTTTCAAAAGTTTCATCCTTAGTCTTTTGTATGAATACCCATAACTTTCTAGAGTAATCATCAACTATAGATAGAAAATACTTTACACCTGAGTGTGAAGCATTCCTTACAGACCTCCATAGATCAACAGGAATGTAATCAAGGGATCCATGTGTTCCTTGTTTACCTTTGTTAAACTTCATTCTACATGATTTACCAAGTATACAAGGTTCACAAAACTCCATTTTTTCGACCTTGTAACCACCCAATAGATTTTGTTTCGATCATTCGACCAACCCTCTTTCACCGACCTAGCCAAGTCTCTTGTGCCATAGCTCAGTCTTCGACACAGGTTTCGTGAATGCCACATCTGTTGAACCACTTACAACCTCAAACCCCAAGGGTATACAAACCTTGTTTCTTCATGCCTCTCAAGAATTACTTCTACATCTTCATTACCCTTAGGATGTTTTGCTTTCCTTTGAAAACATATCCTTTCTTGTTGCATTAACAAGAGAAATCAAATTCCTCTTAAGATCAAGTACATACCTAACATCAGTCAATAGCCTTATTTGTAACGCCCCGATTTATTTATTTATTTTTCTTAAAAAATATTGTGTGATTTCATGTGTTGATTGATCTTTTGGTGGGCTAGAGGAACTCTTAGGTGTGGGGTAGTAGTCTTAGAGAGTAGAGTTTAAGGTGTTGGGGGTGTGCGAGTGTTGGAGCAATAAAGCGGAAAGCAAAAATTAAGTGTGGAAGACTTCTGGGGTTTGTCGTGTCCACGGGGATCAGTGCGAGGAAAAGAATGACTTTCAACAGCCCATATGTTTCTAAGCTTGGTTTGAATAGTTTTAAAGAGTAAAAACCATAAGCTCTCTACATCTCTACGGTCTCTACGTCTCTACATTTCTAAGCTTGTTTCGACCATCACTTGAGAACCGTAACTCCCATTTACGCACAGTCAGAAGCGTTAGAAAGCTTATTCAATGCTCTATAAGACAATAACTAAATATCATTACTTCAGTACCTACAAAAATGAGATAAAAACAATTAAACTCAATGATATTTACACGATAACACTATATACACTGTAACATAAACTATACAAAATATACACAAAAGTTGAGGTTTATTGGTATAAAACGAATGGATTAAGTTGATGAGTGTTAATTATTCACACTAACAACAATTTATCACTCATAAAACTATCCCCAACTTAAACTTGTTTGTCCTCAAAGAAGAATCAATCAACCTAAAGAAACAAAAGCAATTGTCGAGAAATCATGTTCAACACGTTTTTACAAACGGAAACAAATGTATGGTACAAATATCAAAAGTACACGCAAAGCAATGGTTACCACTATAATACAATGACGCAACAAATATGAAACAAAGCATA